CAGCACCTAGGTGTGCTACTGGCCTGCAATGTAGGTGGCAGTGTAGGAGGACATTAGCAGGATTGCTCAGATAAAATTGATTCTGGGCATTAAAACATGTGCTGGGCAGTTCATACCTCCAGATCATCTTCTTGTAATGTTCTCCCCGTATATCATCTATTATATTTGCATCACAGTTGCTAGCTTTTGTTCAAAAGGACGAGGACTAGAAATCTGGTTTTAGTAATGCAAATCTTTCCAATCCTATGTCCCTATACCCATGAAATCCCAAAATCTGGAACTCTGCTTAGTTCTAATTACTTTGACTAAGGTCTGCCTGGTGATGAATTCCTTATTTTGATATATTTTTCCCCTTTTCTTCTACTGAAAAGTATGATTATAAATGATTGCATAACTTCAAGTCCAGTTTGTGCGTATACAAACCTGTTGCTCAGAGACGCAGGTCAGAGACCAAATTATGAATGTTCGTTGACAATAAAGCCAATGTTATAGCCACTGTATCCATGTTTTATCTTCTTATTGCTATATACCTCCTTGGCATAGCTTTCCGTGGTTTTCTGACAACTATTCTCTTTTTAGCTGTTTGGCCTGAGTGGTGGTTGGAAGTTAATGCCTTTGTCTTTCTATTGCTCTTTACAGGCATGTAATTGTATCTGATTGCATTTTAAGGAAACGCACTGTTGTGCAATGCTTCTGCCATTTGGACTGGCTATATGTTGCATTGCTTACCAAGTACCTTTAAAAATGAATAGCTTCAACAATAACTTTAGTTTTATGTGAATTTAAGACAATTAATCAAAGGTAAAGGGAAAATTAAAAATCTAAGGCAGATCATTTGTTTAATGATCAATGTGCTGAATGCCTTCTTTTCCACTTCCATTAAGTATAAATCAGAAAGTGCATTTGTCGTCATCTTATTGTAACCTGAAATTTATTGTAACTGTTTACAGGAACCCAATTTTTTAGATGGTAAATGTTCAAGTAGTTTTGGAAAATAATAGCCTTTCAAAGAAAGCAATATACACAAAATCATTGTAGACTGTTGGTCGGTTTTGATAACTGTGGCCCTAATTTTCTGTTTTTCTAGTTCTTGTATTTTTTAATGTAAATATTTTATATATCATATTGTTTTTATTTATATGCAATACCATCTATTTATATTTCTACATTATAATATTTATTAAGAAAGTTTATATATAACATCATCACATATAATTTATGGGTATCACAGTAGGATGAGTGTTCCACTTTATTTTCTCATGTATTCCTGTAAATTTGCTGTAAATATATTCCATTTCCATTACAGGAGGTAATGTATGTAAATATTTTCAAAATATTATTTTTTTCTGTTTTGGAATGACCTCCCACCACCCCAGCTTAATCTTACTGCAGGAAAAAAAAAGGCAAATAGGAAGTATGCAGGAAGTTCTTTCCCCTTTTGTCTCATTTTGGAGTTAAATTTGCAGTGCTTACTGGTACTGCTGAAATCAGCTGAAGACATAAATGGAGTTAGGATCTCATTATAACTACTGAGGATAAACTATCCATAACATACATATAAATCAGGTGCCATATTTTAATCAAGGAAGTGCTATTGCTCCTACTTCATCCTTTGGTTATGTTGTGATATTCTGTACCTTTATTTGTTATGCATATGTCTAGAAAAAAATCAATGGTTATTTATTTAAAATTGTCTTGGTTTTTTTTTTTTTTGAAGAATTGCATTAGTAAGGTTCTAATTTACTCACGGTATCTATGATAAAGACTCATTTTTTTCTGCTGTGCTGTTCAGTAGGTATACAAACTCAACAACAATTTTTTTTTTTTTGCCGCAACATACATATGTATATATAGTTTGGGTCATCAATGACCAATTTATCTAAAACAAATTATTTGCTAGTGCATTACATAGCAAACAAGTGTTAATAAAATAAAACAGAAAAATGGATGGTTTGTCTGATGCTATTCTGTAAAATAATTCTTCAGAAAATGACACAGTTTTTGAAAAATTACTTCCTAGTATCTCAGGGGAAATTAAGGAAACTTGGGAAAAACAGCTGTCATTAAGACTGTTTACAGAAAATTCAGAAATAACCTCCTTCGAAACAGATTCCTGTTTCTAATTTTCACCTATTTTGAGTGCCACTCTCCTCTGTTTATTTCATTTCAAGAGGAAATGTACTTTTAAATGATTGATGAGCTTTTCTGAAATTAAGATATTTAAATCCATTACAAATTTTTCTGTTGATGATAGTGGTGTTTGTTTCTAGCATGAGCACAGCTCAATATTCTTTGAAGATCAAAGTTCTCTAACAATTTTATTATGGCAAACAGCAGAGTTAAAACGGCACAATGTCATAGCTGCACAGGAAGACTAAAACCTGCTCTGTTGAGTAGTGGAGAAAGGGAGGAGTCACTTTAATTGGACCAAAAGCTGAATAAAGTCAGGGTAACTGGGCCTCACAAATGGGTTTTCTTTTAAAGTCAGGGAAATAATATGTCACTTTTTTCTTCTTTGAAGACGCACAATAAATAATGAGAATAGTTGCTACAGCCCATCGGATAAGCGATATGGAAACTCACTGTGAGTAGCTCTGTACTGTTAATTTAGCCCATGGATCTTGTGCTGGGATTGTCCGTGTTGCCTGTACCTTTGCTTGTAGACTAGCTCAGGTCTGCAGTGAGTCATGTAGATTTACGGATGCAGAAAGGGGGGCAAGGCGCAGAACTGGCCCCAGCTCACAGCTCGTCTGTACAAGCACTGTTGACACAACCTATCCGAGTTTCTTGGCACAGTGAGTTCTCACCTGGATTAGGACACAGCCAACAACGACATAGGCAAGTATGAAGCCTGTATACTCAAAGCTACTGCACTGCAGTACATGCAGGCTCATGTTACGCATTTCCCCATCAAAATACTATACAGAAGGCTTCTGTACCATACTTTTCTATACCGTAGAAGAAGAGCAGAAGCCTTATAAAGTCTTCTTTCTTCAGCTTGTAAAGCTTACTCCTTTAAAAGTGAAAGTATATGTACAGTCAGATTTTGTAGGGTTACTAGTGTCAGACTCTCCTTAAAGGAATACATATAACATTATTTTTATCCCTGTAGCTAGATTCATTCTATTTAAATTATTTATCCTTCCTTACAATGTAGTTCACAGGCTTAGCTTTGTAGCCTTTACCTAAGTATTCACACTGGACTAACTGGCCTGAGGATTATAGAGCTAACCACAAGACAATAATTTTTGAAAGCAAATGTCAAAAACAAAACAAAACAACTCCGGATGTCGCTTTATAGTGCTTAAATGTTCTGAACTTTTGGTTATGCAGTTGTCATAGGTCTGGAGGATCAAATGAAATTTATGTGATTTGACTGAGATGGCGACAAAGGAATGTGTTTCTTAGTGTCTCTATTTCCAAGTTTCCATGTGTGGAGGGTGAAACCCATCAAGAAAATCTTGCTGACCAACTGTTTCTGCAGGGTAGAGCTCATCAAAAATATGTGCCCCAAACTTCTAAAATATGAAAACAATTTTTTAAAAATAAACATTTTTTTTCAGAAGCTTATTGTTAAACAGGAATGCTTAAAAGAAAAGGAAGCAGTAGTTTATTTTCTCGTCTTTGAGGGGGAATAGAGGACACAATAAAAAAGTGGAAAGGTGTTAGAAAAATGATTTATTCTCCTTTTTTCATGGGGAAAAGTCTTTTTGAAAACCTAAAAGGTAATATTGTTTTTGCCTTTTTTCTTCAACCAGCTCCTGTTCAGACTTTGTAACAACTAAGCATACAGCTGTAGCTAGAATCTTTTCATTAAACTAACTAAAAATGAAAGTTGGTTAGATATCAAGAATCATACGCAGTTCACTAGACCACATAAAAGAGAGCAATGTAAAGTGTAAATATCAAATCAGAATGTTCACTACAAAGGATTATATTAAATTAAAAAGTATCTAAAAACAGTAGTAGCAGGTACGCTTAGAAATTGATGTTGTTCTACTCTCTGTATATTGACTAATTGTTCCTCTTGGTTTTAAGTGTTGCAACCATTTCCATAGTTATGAAAAAGAAGCTCAGGTGGGTTCTTCTTCGTTGTCTTAAGTGTACTTTTTAAAAAATTCTTCAAACCATAGAAAATACTCAATTCATGGGCAACAGTATATTAAAAACAAACAAAAAGCCTCTGCCACCTAAAATGCATTTATAGTTGCAGTCAATCTGCAGCTGAGCATTTTGGGTCAGCCTTGATCATCCTTTATCTTCCTGTTCATAGAAAAGACCCACATTTACTTTAACAGCACAGGCTTGTGCCTCTAGTGCCACGAGCAATTTCTCTTGATTTCAGAACTCCCACTGACTTTAATTAGATCTAGAGTTTCTTCAGTATTTTCATTTCTCATGGGCTTATCATTACATAATGTACTTTAAGCTAGATCAAGAGTTGCCCCAATACTATTGTTTCTCAAGAGCTTATCATTACAGAATGTACCTGCAGCTGCTAGTTTTAATTGAACACAGTCTGTAAATAATTTTAACTCATATTTATTATGCTTACAAAGCTCAAATTCAAAAAATAATTGGAATTACTTCAGGCTACATCAGCCAAGCAATATGGTTCGCAGACTTCTGGAATAAAATTCCCTATCATGGAAGAAATAATGTTTAAATCTAGATGGCTCACAGAGGTTGAATATGGAACTTTTCACATTTAAGTCAGGAATCCAAACGTGGTCTTCATTAGCTACAAATAAAAACTATCAGTAACTGGCATCTGTTACACAGCCAGTATAAAAGGAGTTGATGCTCTACTTTTCTGAAGTGGAAAGTGCATCAGTCCTAACTGGTGAACTTTTCTCAGCACAGAAGGGTCTAAGTGTGCTCTTAATATGCATGCTTAAATATGGTTCTTCTCAAAAATGAAATCTCTCCAAAAAAAAAGTCAACATTACAGGCTTTGCAATTTTCCAGAACACCGTTTATTGATGTTGTCCCAACAAGTAATAAAATATTACTACTAAAAGCTGTGTTGTACCTGAAACTTACTTTTAACGTTGCAATTGCAGCTTTCAATGACAGTTCCTCTCATAGTGTTGATTTCTCACTACAGGTGAAGCCAACGGGTCTTACAGAGTGGAAATGCCTCCATTGCTCACACAAAAGTGTGGCTCACTTTCTCTATAGGCCTTGGTGTCAAGTCAAATCACCATGAGATCCTTAAGTGGCATTAAATTCATTAGAAAATATTCTACTGTGCCTCTACATATTATTTTCAAAAACATCTTGATAACATTTGTGAAGAAATATATGCAAGTATAGATAGACACATTTACACTCACATGTGTGAGGAGGTTTCATACAATCAGTTCATGAAATTTGGGTTCTTCAGAAATAATACTGTTTGTCAAAATTATCACAAAAAGTATCTTGAATTCTTTTCAATAATACACAAGAGGGCAATGTGAAGTTTCACAGCTTCAGAAGCAAAATAGTGAAAAATCTTCACATTATGATTATTATGTTGTTCTTAGTATGCAAAACAGCCAGAAAAAATTCAACCCGCTTCGCTGGCTGCTATTCAATGACCAAACACAGAGTTCTAGTAGTAAATGAATGATCTTTTGTACAAGCCTACTTCTTTCCCAGAAGCTTTGCAGATCTCTAAAAAATTTCTCTGCTTTATATTTATGAAACTATTTTTTTTATTATGCTTATAGAATATCAAAGAAAAGGGCAGCACAGAAGATGTAATGTGCTGTAAGTGACTATTACCGATGCAAAATAACATTGCAGCATCTTCTTCCCACTGTAAATACAGTGGATTTGAATCTGCTCCTCAGTACACCCTAAGATGTATGTCTGTAAAGGCAAAATAAAGATGATATAATCTTAAACTCCAGGACTGAAGGCTTTCAGCTGAAACTGATAGAGAAGGCTATTCTTTCAGAAAAAGGCAGTTGATATGTTTGCAAAATGTGCTCACAAAGTCAGTACACAACCACAGTCTTTTCTGTGGGTAAAAAATTAGTCTTTAGCTGGATTTAAAAATTCGGAAAAGAAAATGTTTCCTGTGATGGAAGTAATGTCAACCACGTAGCATGCATTCAGGACAGATTTTCAAAGACGTCAGTTAGGTGCCTTATGGATCTTCATGCCTTTGAAAAAATATTCTTCCTTGCTGTGTTAGGATTTTCTGAACTGAAAATTTCTTTTCTTTTATGACTCATCTCTATCAACACTTTCCTGTAAATAAAACATTATCTTGGTTTTATAAATATGTTGATAAGCAATGTGGAAAACATTCATCACTGTAAAGTTGAAGGTTACTTAGCAAAAGTGAACAGAATGAATTGAGGAAAATTGATGTAAGTAATATTCAACAACTACAAAAAACGCTATGCACTCTCACTATTATTAGACCAGAGAGGTTATTTTATCGTACATGAAAAGGATAAAATCTCTATTTGTCTAATCTGAGACAAAAAGATAATGAAACAAAAAAATTCAGAAACATATTATACAACACTACTTTTAAGTAGTGATAGAACACATTAACAGAAATAAAGTTTTACTTTCTTCATAATGATAGCCATGTTAGATAAAGAGAAGAAAGGTTTTAAAAGCTTATAATATATAAGTATACACCTTCTGAGCAGTTTTTATGCTTGGATACTTAAGGCAGATACTTAAGGATCCATCAGCATATAGTGTTCTGTAGTTGGTGGTTAGAAACAGTCTTAATTCCGTTTAAATCCTTTGCAAAATTGCTATTCCTGCTTACTTCAGGAAGACTGTGATTTCCTCATTGTTGCCTAAATATTAACTGAAGTGTCCAGTATAATGTACACTTCTGCATATTAAACACACTAATAATTGAAAGGTAAAAATAATAGAACATCATTTTAAAATCTTCCTGTTTCATATTCACAGGAAATTGAACTCCTTTTTATTAAAAACATCAGAATTATCTAAATGGAACATCTAAAGCAGAATTAATGTAAACAGAAGCAGGGGTTTTTTTTATTGCTTTAAAGGAGGCCAGTGCTCTTGTAAAAATGCTCTATTTAATGCTGTAAAATTTTTTGAGACGTATTTTATTATTACATCAAAGTATTGCTGGGACTGTTCTTCATTCTTAGTTAGCGAATCAGTATCAATAAATACTGTAAAATTCAGCTCCTTTTTCCGGAGCATCCAGATTCCTAAGAAATCTTGCATTTCCCTGTATTCTGGGGAGGAAAAAAAAAGTGCTGCACTGCATCATAAGTGAAAAACTGTACTTATATATATCAATTCAAAGAGATTTAGCCTACTCATAATCACAACATTTTTTTTTAGCTGTATTAAAATATCTATTTTTTTTTTCTGTGCCTGCTTTATTTAGTGATTCAGAATGCCCTGTATCTGTCCTGTCCTCTTGGTTGTTTACTGCTCCCATGGTCTTTATGTCATGGGCAGAATTTACTGTTACTTTTCAGCTCATTGATAAAACGTTATACTGGGTCAAAGATGAATCTAGTGAAATTCCATTAGAAATGCAGATGTTCCATGGCAATTCTGCATTTGCTTTTTTATTTTCAGATGTCTAGCAAGCTTTTATTTTGAGTGTTTCTAATTTCTTAATCAAACTCTTATTCAATATTATTTCCTTTAGGAAACAAACTACTTTCACCGGAAGTTAGGTTAGTTTGATCAGACCTATTTTTCACAAACTTATGATGTTTGGCAATTAATTAGATTTCTCTCCTTCAAGTCTTGCATCATTGAAACCCATAACAGGCTTGTCATTATCAAAGTTTCCCGTTTTCCTTTTTTAAACAGCAGTGCATTGTCAGCTTTTTCCTCATTCCTGCACAATTTCTCCAGTGCTCCTGATCACCCAGAAAAACTTTGTGGCTGGTTACAGTTAACATATACATGGGAGTCACGTGTGTGGCTGGTGTGGGGAGGAGGGAACTGTTTTCAGAGTTTTAGTAGTGATTATGGCATCTTTTCTGGATTATCTATTTAAGTAAAATATATATGTATGTATTTAGCAAAGATAGTAGCATAGTTGTGCCCGTACGGCCTCTGTTGCAGGGTGCGCAGCTGCTTCTTGCCTCAGAGTTTGAGGCACGAGTTTGAGAGGACGACACCTCTCAGGAGCTGTGGTTAATTTAACTTCCTGCCCAATCTGAACCCTGTGTAACACAAAACCAACGTCCATAAACAGGATGGTGATTTTGAAACCAGTTGCAATACTATTTGTGATTTGAGGTGCCATATTACGCTTAAGCTGGTATAATCTGCAGATTTCTTCTCAAAAAAGGGGTCCTATTTCCTTCTCCACCCCTAATAAACCATCCCTGATACTTCCCTTGAATTGAATCTAGAGACTGTGTGGCTGCAGGTGACAGTCAACTCAGTCCCTGAACCAAATCCAGGGTCTTCCAGGCAAGGCGGTGAGTTAGTTTTCTGACAAATTAACAAGCTGATCTGACTCAAATTGTTACGTGATCACTAGATTTGATACAAGGTCAGGGAGGGAAAGGAGAAGAGCAGAATCGTCCTTTTATCAGCAGCCCACAGCTAGACCAGATTAGGTGCAACCTGAAACCACAACCTTCAGCTGTGGTTTCACAGTCGGTAACTGTGAGGCTGAACTGCCTGAGCAACCCCACACCTCCTCCTCTGGCTGCTCTTCCCACTTTTGCACAGCCTCTTACCTGTGCCAGGACAACAGTTTATGTGGCTGCACAGGGAACCGGGATCTAGGTGAGAAAAAAGAAATTAAGAAACATTTTACTTTTTGCAGAAGATCCCACATCACTTTCTCAGCCTGGTTCCCAGTGCAGCTGTATTGCTTGCAGCGTAGGCGGTGACATGGGGGACAAGTGAGACAAGAGGCAGCTGCTCCTTAAACCACTGCCCTACACGTATTGTGGCTGGTCCTACCTCTACAACAACAAGAACTGGGGTTTGGGGACCTCCTAGCCTACTGTCCCTTGCAAATAGCCACTTCCCCTTACCACCTTCCCTCTAGGAGTCTTCCTTCCACTTCCTTTCCACTCCAACAGTAAAAGTCCTCCCCACCTGGAGAGCTGATTCCCATTACTTCGCCCTTCTCCGTCTTTCACAGGGGCTGCAACTTACCCCACTTTTATGTGCAAATGTCTTTCTTTCCTGTCTATCCTCTCCCGGTTGCTCCAGCAAGCACATCAGATTCATTCTTCCCGGAAAGCCATATTCCAGTTGCAGAGGAAGAAGAACAGGATGGAGACAGGCAAAGCCAAGGTAGGATGGACAGACAGCTGGGCTATTGCTGCTCTTACTGCTGCTGCTGTGGAGGAGAGGCAGAGGCAATGGCAGCTGCTGCTCTGAATGATGAAATTCAGGTCACGAGCTGTGAACTGCACCATAATGTCTAGGAACATCGCTGTGGGATTTTTCTGCTGTCAAAACTGGAGGCGGTCAAGCACATCTTAAAAATGGGGTTTTGAATTTTTTTTAAAAAATTCTTTCATTTTAAATGATTTTTACAGAAGAATAAGTAAATGTTGGCACTTCTTAATCACTTTATAAATTGCTTAATAAAATAACACTTTATACAGTGGGAAAAAATATCTCACATGTTCTGCAGGTCTTTGAAGTGGGATTTCCTTTGCCAAAAGCACACCCACAAAAATGTGAAAATATACTTTTAAAGAAGCACTTTGATGGAAACTAAACATCCTTATTTTCTCTAGATTCTTCATAAAACAGAAACGGTTTTTTGGCCCACCCATACATTCACCATATTTTGTCTACAGTTAACACTGGACTAAACTGTATGCATAGTGCTGCTTTTTCTAGACAACAGTTCTGGAGAATTACGTTGTTATGGTATGAGCAGAGTGAGTGAGTCATAGGCACGTCACACCTGTGGAGGGTGACTCAAATGAGCAACTCTCCTAGTTGCTCTCACAGCACACAGTGCTGTGTCCTTGCTGTGCTGGTATTAGCTTCTAGAGCCTCTAACGGAGATTAAGAGCTCACCCTCTTGGGCCTTGCGCACAGGAAGTGACAGGCCCTGATTTAAAGATATTACACTGTGAGTAGTAAGACAGCTAAAGGATGTGTGGAAAGCGATGTGTTTTGACCAAGGTCAAATAGCACTTCAGCAGCAACGAGCACAGAGCCTTCCAAAGTATTTATATTTTTTTATCTGGCCACTGTTGCTCTGGCTCATGAATCTATATTTCTTAACAGGTAAGAGCTCTAAGGCTTCAGGAATACAGCAGGGGATGATCAATATTATTAAAAGCATTTATAGAAAAATGCTAGTTTTACTAAAAAGGCTCTAGGACAAAGAATCTCACTCATAGACATCAAAATAACTTTGATTACTCACTTTTTGCCAGAGGAGGCCTCTTCTGAGAATCGCAGTGATTTCAGATTTTCCAATCTGCTTTGTGGATGTATGCTAAGGGAGTGATCTTTATCTGATGACAATCAATTTATTTCAGTGAAATTACACTATTCCACACTACCGGTGAACCCATTTTTAGCTAAACATTCATATGTGCAGTGGAAAGTGAATGTGAGCCTTGCAGTGAAAACTTTCAGGTTGTTAGCCCATAAGATAATCACTATGGTGACTTTGTTTCTTTATAGTTATTTATACTATTTTACCTATCACTACCCTCTAAGCCACTAGATTCATCAGTACCATATTGTGACTATTTATATGCAAGTAGTTCTTCTCTCCAACTCTCTAAGGACCCCTTCATATCAAAGCTTAATTTGTATATGATAATTTACTGTTACATGTCTTTGTAAGATTGCCCTAAGCAAATAGGCAATTCATCTGAAGGGTCATTTTTCTCTAAGAGTGAAATTTAATAGAGCATTACTTACACTTTAACATTCATCTGATAATCAAAACATATTTCACTCATGTTATTTTTAGATATCATTAATTCTCAGGGGAAACTTAGATGTTATATTCCGGTCTGTGACTCTCTTATACAGATTCAAAAGACAAAAGCTGCATTGTCTGCTTCTAAGAAAAAAACTGCTGGAGGCACTTCTTTTGTGTTTCTAATGAACACCATATGAAAACAACTACGGAATAACTATTTACTCACATGCAGTCATCTACTAGATTCTCATACATGGGCCACTTCCTTCGCCATGCCAATGAACACATGTCAATACTGTTACATTGGCCAATCTAGTTACAGGACTTTTTTATTATTCATTCCTTTATTTTTGCAATAAGATGATTTATATATTACTTTGAGCTGAACTTTTAGTGATGGTGCTCTGTGCGAGGGTGAAAGATACTGTTATATATAGTTTACCAGACAAACACATCAAAGAGCAATAACATTTAATAGAGTTAAATATTACTAAGTCAATCTTGCTCATTTCCTCATTCCAAAGTTCAGATTTAGTGTTCAATAATAACACAATTTTTATTGTTCCCTGTCCTTGAAGTTTCTCATTTGCCTGGTTAGGTATGATTTGGAGAGCACGTTGGAAGGGGAATACATATTCTTATAGAACGTCCTTAGATTAAAAATCTATTATATGTTTGGATGTAGATTTGGTGAATTGATTCAATGACATTTAGACTTACTTTCCAGTCTTGTATTTCCAGCTGTGTCTGATCCATACCACGCAGAATATTCTTTCCAGAGCCTACTGGCATAACAACACTAGTATGTTGTGAAATGTGTCAGGCTGTAGCCTCTATCATTCTGCTAAAAAACGGAGGGAAATAGTAGCTGCATGGTAGGATATTGTTATATGTTTTTTTTTATCCCTATACACACCTATGCAGATGCCTACAATGGTCTGTACAGTGCTACGAAGACAAGCACTTTTCCAAACAATGCAAGTTTTCCATGTATATGCCATATATTTTCCAAGCATGTTCTTTTCTTTTTACAACTACTAACCAGTTATTCTTTCTAAATCACTAATTTTCTTACAGAAGTAAGAAAATCTAATCTACTTGTTTTAAGAAGTGTAATTTTTTTATGATGAAGAGTAACTTGTAGAAAATCTTCACCAGGCAACATAGTTCTCCATACTAAAATAAGAATACACAGTTCAGGAGTGACAGGCTGGACAAAAGCAAAAGTATGGAAAATGACTTGCAATTTTCCAGCTTCTGTCTGGAAGTTTCAGAACAACTAACTACCATCAGCTTGACATTACCAAGCTTGCTACTAAAGATATATAGCTTTCATTCAGTGAAGAATGGAGTGCAGAAAACTAGCATCAAAAGCCAATGAAGTGAGGCAATGATTTATTTATGTGCCTCCCAGGATGAGAAAGTGACTTTCAAAGCTAAGAGAGGTGTTTTGAAAAAATATTACCTCTGCCTGAAAAAAAAACATGCTTTCTGTTGAACACAATATTTTAAAGCGAAATGGATAACAAATATATCTGATTGCACAAATGTTCGGTTCAAAGAAATCACAGGTCACTGATAGGATCTGATGTGTTCCGGGTGATTTTTTCTTATGAAAAGCTTGACAACTGAAAACATAACTTATACAGCAGAAATAGCTTCAGCTATTTCTACTTAATTTTAATTTGAGCTAAATATTTGATTTCTGTTAAACATAAATAGTGTCAGTAAGATCTGCCCAATATTGCTATGAAATAAGAAACAGTATTTACATTGTTAGAAGAACATTAGCAGGGAAAGTGTTACATGAACGGTTATTTTAAGTCTTGCTTCTCCCTACTTACACCTTATCCTATTCTGTCTAAGACTGTAACTAATGGTGTGACATCTGGCAACCACGTTACCTCAGGCTATGACCTTGTCAATTCTTGTAAAACTGTGGGAAAAGTTTAACAGTTTAAGCATCAGGTTTGGATTTTTTAAAGTGTCTAGAAGCACAAAATCAAATATAGATACAAGCTACTTCGCTTTTTAGTCTCTAAATAGCTAAATCTGCCTTCATCACAACAGATTCTTTCAAGAGTTGCAGTTAGATCTGATGCAGGCAGAGAAAGTAAGCGGTTGGGTTTTTGGGGGGCAAAGAGGTCTTAGAGCTTACAGTAGGTCTACTTCATGTTCCCAGTTAATTTATGTCATCCATCCTGAGGAAATCTGCAGTGATACAATTTTTTTTTGCACAGATTGTGAAAAATTGTGAAGAATATTATAGCAAAATTTTGTAGCCAGAAAACTTGTTGCAAAATTGTGCAATTTTGTTATCTGTTTGAAAGGCATGCTGATTTCATTGCTAAATGTTAATATTAGGAAATGAGAGCTTTGTTATCTGTGTAGGCCTTTCGCATGATTTGTAGTTCAAACCATACATATCCTCTCTCCCACTTGCTGTCAAGGTAGTCATAATAAGAAGAGGAACCAACATCCTCAACCTGCTTTCTGCCAGAGGTCACTGTCTGTTAGATGACACAATGTCATACAGTAAGTTGCCTTGTTCAGTCTCTGTGGAGTTTGTTGCAGTATTTTCTCATTGCAGGGCAATGATTACCATAGAGCTTTTCACTTCAGAAATGATCCCTTTGCATTAAACATTGTGAGGAGTGGCGTTCAGAATAAGCACATCAGTGTAAACAGACTTTACAGTCTTCTATAATAGACGAATATTTGCAGCTCTCCACATTCAGAAACCCCATAATTACATCCAAGCATTCTTGTGATAATGGTATTGATGTTTGAAAGTTAGTTAAAAGTGTTTTCTGCATTTTTGGATATCTGAATTCCCAGCTGAGCTCTACGTGCTACTTTAGCTGGCATCTTAGGACTGCATTAAGACACTCTTAAGACATTATAAATGTGGCAAGTTATTGAAATGATGTTTATATTTTGTAAATATATACAATTTTTATGGAATTCAAAAAAATCAGAAATATATGCATCTATAAAACTGCACCAGACACAGTGCAGAAGACACAGTGCAGAAGGTATGTTATGTCCAGAAGTCCTAATCTATTCATGTACCTGTGGGAGCTGATTACATCAGACCTTCCTGAGAATTTGAGCACGGTGGCATTTCCAGAAGAAACCTACAGTGGCAAAATAATAACCAGCACCCCTGCAAGAAATATTCTTAAATGGAAGTTAACCAAATGAGCTGCTATTGACACAACCTTCTTTTACTGCATCACATGTCCATTAACATAAATGAATCTGAGCGTAAGCTGAGACTTGATGCAAAAAGGAATTCTTG